GATAGATAGATAGATAGATAGATAGATAGATAGATAGATAGAGGTGGGGTAAGTGGGAGAAAGAGAGATGGATGGATAGATGATAGACAGACAGATAGACAGAGAGGTGGGAAAAGAGAGAGAGAGAGATGGATGAATGGATAGAAAATAGATAGATGGATGGATGGATGGATGGACGGACAGATAGATAGATAGATAGATAGAGGTGGAAGGGAAGAGATAGAGATAGGCAGACAGATAGACAGACAAATGGAAATGGATAGATGGAGAGAGAGAGAGAGAGAGAGAGAGAGAGAGAGAGAAAGGTAGATAAGATGGATGGATGGGGAGAGAGAGAGATGGTGAAACTGAGAGACAGATGGACAGATAAACAGGCAGGTAGAGATGGATGGGGAGAGAGAAGGAAAGAGATGAAGAGATGCAGACCGATTTGAAAAACAGAGACTCAGACAAACAGATAGATATTAAGAGATAGACAGTATACAGATAGATAGATAGACACCGATCTATCATCTTCTGCCTGATAGATAGATGCTGGCTGAAGAAAGAAGGATGCTAAAAGGATAATCACATCCCACTCCCATCTCTGACTTGCTCCGTTTGTAATGTATTCCCAAAAAAGCATTGCAGGTGGGTGGTGGCAGGCAGTGGGTGGACAAGGGTGATACTGAGCCATCGCATACCCCCTCCCCGAATGACAGCTCAGCTCCCCCTGTCCCACATAAGGCACGAGGAATAGAAATAACTAGTAACACATTTTTAGTGCTCAGCTTTCCACCGACTCAGATTGCTAGCGGTAACCAGCCAGAGGAGACCCCCAACCTGTCAAGGAGTTAGCTTGGTAAGGCCAGGGAAAGGAAAGGAGTTGTGTTAAGCGTGTGTCTGTGTGCACGCGTGTGCACACATGCGTGCTTGTGTGTGCATGCACACACGTTTGTGTAAGGGAATCATGCTAGAAAGCAATGATTTTTTAAAAAATGAGGACATTGACATGGAAAAGGACCTGCTCACTGTCTTTAGTCCCTTTTAGGGAAAAGGAAACAAATGGAGATAACTCCAAGACCAGTCTTGGTCAAGATCCTTCATATTGAGGTTGCGTAATGTAAGTGGCCAGAATTCTGTATCAGGTGCTTACTGAAGTATGCTTAACTATGGCCCAACCGCCCTGCACATGCTCCGTTTGTAATGTATTCCCAAAAAAGCATTGCATCATTCACTTGTGTTCCAATCACTAGGGGAAGGGACCTTTTTCTGCCCAGCTGATGCCCAGTAAGGAAGGTTGGAAGGGAGGTACACTCATGGCAATAGTGTCATAATTGTGATTAAGCAGCAATCATGAATACAAAACAGTTGTTATTGCTATTGTTAACTGCGCTTGAGTCATCCCCAGTTCATGGCTATCCTGTGGATAAGATGAGACATCTCCAAGACCCCCCTGTCCTCCGTTGCTCTGTTACGATCCTGCAAATTCAGGCCCATGAGTCTATCCATCAGGTGTGTGGTTTGCTTCCCTTTCTCTTTCCCTCCACCTTTCCCAGCATTATTGTCTTTTCTAATGATTCATGCCTTCCTGTGATCTGGCCAAACTATGACTGCCTCAATTTGATCCTCTTGGCTTCCAGGGGAATTTTTTTTGCCTTTCTCTGCTCAAGGACCTACTTGTTTGTCTTTATGGCTGTCCACAGTATCCTCAGCACTCTTCTCCAGCACCGCAGCTCAAATGAGTTTCCTTTTTATCTACTTTCTTTGCTCTCCAGCTCTCGCATATGTACATGGTGATGGGGAGTACAATGGATGGGACGATTCTAACGTTAGTGTTCAGTTGTCTATCTTTATTCTTTATGATTTTGTCTATTCTTTCGTAGCTGCCCTTCCCGTTCCCAATTTTCCTCTGATTGGTAACTACACAGTTACCAAGGAAAACTAGATAACTGTTCCATATTCATGATGGCTACAAATGTCACAATTCTGACACTATTGCTATGACTCTACTTCATCTGGTATCAGCTGCATGATGAGAGGGAGATCCATTCTGCTGGCAATAAGAGAAGGGCTGAATGACATCTGTCTTAGGTTTGGAGATGTCAAGCCAAGAGTGAGAGTTAACAAGTGGCTGATACAGAATACCAGCCAATTTCTGCATGGGGAATTATACATTAAGGATGGAAAGAATATTCATAATTATTTGTCCTCTGGTCAAAAACTGAGGGCCTTTGCAGACTGCCAGAAATAGTGCAAACTGAGTCCACTTTTAACTGTCCTGGCTCAGTGCTAGGGAATCATAGGAATTGTATTTTTTTTCTGGGACATTGAGCCTTCTCTATCAGAGAGCTCTCGTGCCACAATAGACTACAGTTCCCATGATTCCCTAGCACTGAGCCAGGACAGTTAAAGTGGCTTCAATTTGCACTATATCTGGCAGTCTGCAAAGGCCCTTAGTTTCCCAACAATCAGAAGATCCCACTTGTTTAGAATTCTGTACATTTTTTCTTATATAAGCTCTCTTACAAGAGCTTAGGAAAGCAGATTTAATTTTCCCTTTTTTTCCCCTCATCATCCTCTCCTTTCCTCCACCTTTCTTCTTCTCTCTCCTTCAACTCAGGTGCTGCCAGTCTCTCCTCCACCTACTTTTGAAGAGCTTCTGCTCAGAACTTAGAGCAAGGTGCAGAAACACCCACAGACCATGTCTAGGGTGAAAATAACTTGCAACAGATGCATTGCTTGGAAAACAACTCAAGGAGTTACCCTGATTTCTGGGGACAAGGAAATAATAGATATAGCACAGGCTAAATTGAATTAATGTTTCCTGTTTACATGTACATTTGTTTTAATTCGATTTTATTTAGATTTATGAGTTTTGTAAGTGTGATTTTATTGGCTAATATTTATATAATTTTGTGATATTTTGGTCAAAGCCCATAAATAAATTCTGATTCTGATTCTGATTGAGGCTGTTGTACTATGGCCATATCACGA